TGCTTTCTTAAAACTTTTCCCCGCAGATAGCGGCTTAGGCACGGACAGTCACACCACGCTGACCCCAACCAAAGAAATTAAGATTTCTAACGGATTAACATGCAGTGCATGGCGAACATTTTAATTTCGAGGGAAGTCATTTGACACCACTTCCTCCCACCAATTCGAAGCGTGTTTATCAGCTGAAATCGGGTTGTCACCAAAAAAACACCAGATCTGTAGTGAACGCCCAAGAATGCGTCCTAGCTGACTTGCAGAGGTCTCTACAGTACCTCAGTCTGTAGCGTCGGGTCAGCGTCTAAACTGCGAACGCCGAAACTAACTCACATAACGCGGTCCCCGGTCTCACGAAGGGCTGCGGCGATCTCGAAACGTTCGAACCCCTGGCCCAAGGAACAAGAAGTGGTGTTGGCAAGCCAGAAGTCTCGAAATCAACACTCCAAACATACCCACATCTTACCATTCAACTGGGGCCACCAGCTGCGCCGAACAAACATCAAACAGGTTTCCCTTTCCAGCTTCAGAGAGCCGTTCAACATCGGGAAATGAGATTCGCTACGTCGAGCGGCCTTGCACTCGTGGTGGCCTACTTTTTCGTGATTAAGAAGCATCGTACGGCAAGCTCTACTACGCACCGGCTGAAACGACAACGAGAACAGATGCAGCCACGCTCTGAGGGATCAAACTCTGACCCCCTGAAACTGGAATTGTGACGCATCGCCGAATTTCCACTACGTCCACACCGAGCTGCTTTTACCAGCAGTTGGCCGTCACAGGCTCCGTTTCCCTGAAACTGAGAGTTTTGGTTCGAGCCTATAGCTCGTGCCTAATCCCACGGACCCCGTGCATGTTTTCAGCCACATATTACCGAATCCAAAGCCCTTCCCCGCTTTATCATAGAACTGCCGCTGCAACGTAAAAGCTGGAATATGTTAGCTCTGTTTTGGTGTTTGCGTTCTGTAGCGTGCAAAATAACGGCTAGCAGAAGAGCGCAAACAGACGAGTGGAAGGAGAAAGGAGGAAACTCGCAAACGAAAACTGCACGATCCTGCTGTCTTCTATTCGGCAACAGTTTTGCAAAAGCATACGCTAACTGGAAAAAGCGGAACGCAGCCCGGTTTGTTGAGTTTAGACTCGTATAGCGCGTCAACGAGGAGCTAAAGCGATTACGAGTCGAATTCATTAGGATAGAAATCGCACACAGTTTGCCCGGTTGCGAAGCAGCTTACGATAATCTCTGACGGGGGAATACATCAGAAGGATGTCTCGTTTTCCGTGTTGGCTTCCGGAATTTGAGGGTATCTTTTTTAAAATGAAAAATACCCGCCTCGCTATTTTGTAGGCATCGGGTTAGCTCACCTGGTTCGAGCACACCTTAGAAACTTGGACTTGTCCCCGAATAGTGACGCGACTACGCGTGCAAGATGTCAGATTTCCACCACCTCAGCTGCCTGCTTGCCATTATTTTAAATAAACGTAATTGGCTTAATAAGATACTTTTGGTAGTCTCAATCACGAGTGTTGAAAGAAAAAAAGAAAGAAACAAGAGTTAACCAAGCAATTAGAAACGTCGCGTATTAAAGCATTTTTGTGAGTACTTTGTTACCAACATATAGATAGCACTGCAATCCGAAAAGAAAAGTATAGCCAGGGATGTTAATTAAAACGACACTTGTCAAAAGGCATGACACTCGTCAAAAATGCACGAAAATTAATTTCGAAACAAAAAGCTACCTGCAAACTTTTATTAAAAAAGAAAAAAAAAATCTCATTCAATGCATTTCCCAAACGGATCAAAGGTAATATGCGATATTTAATTGCCCCTGTATCGCATTTTTCTGAATAAAATAAAATTAAACTGCAGTCAGGTTTTCCCATGTGAATTTTATTATCGAGAGGCATGTCTCAAATTACAATAAGCAACAATCTTACCATCTTGGCATGCATTAAAACTAAAATTGCACAAAAAAAATTATTTACGAAAGTAAAAAATTTTTTCCGCCAACAAATATGGCACACAACAGTCCTTGGCATAACAAAAAAAAAAAAATGATAATCTAATCATCCGCGTTCCGCCACTGCTAGCTTTGCGCCTGCTGCACGAGAGGTAACTTTTTGGTGCGCAGCCGAGTTTCTCACGAGCTTCATTCAAGTCGTTCTAAAATTGACTGATATAGTGGTTTTCGATTGTGCTCAGCATGTTTCTAATTGAAACAATATAATTATTTTAATAATTAAAGAGTGAATTAAGGAAGCCTAGTTATTATTCGACTTATTGCAAAGATCAGCCACCCACATAATGTCACCCTGGCCGTATAACTCACCTGCACAAACCGTATTAGCGCATCTTTTAACAACGTTTTGTAACAAATCTAAATAAAAATAGAACACCCGGTGTGTATATATATATAGGGTGTTTCACGACAGGTGGACAAATTCGATATTGCGAAAATTACGCGTCGCAACAAAAAAAGGCTTTTGTCGTTTTGGTCCTGGGCCAGGGGCCTATTTAGAAAAATCCTTAACGTCCGGGATAATTAGATTGTTAATTATTTTTGCGTAATTAACTTCTTTAATATTCTGTTTAAGGGCATGGTTTCAATTAGAAAATTGCTCGGCATCATCGAAAAACACTAAATCAACAAATCGCAGAACGATAGAAGGCACGCGCAGCCTTTTACGGCTTTCTGAAAAACCGCACAAATTCCTCGGGTTTTTAAGTTTCGGTTTGCAATCGGTGCGCATCTCGGCTCCGACGGCAACGCACCCCCGTGGAGAAATAGTGCATCCAACCTTTGCTGCGCTGTCATCGGGCGACGCAGCAGAGGCTGGTTGCACTATCTCTGCACGGGGCGCGGTGCCGCCGGGGCCGGGGCTGAGATGCGCTCCGATAGCAAACCGAAACTTAAAAACCCGTCGATTCTGTGCGGTATTTCAGAAAACCGTAAAATGCTTCGCGTGCCTTCTATCGTTCTGCAATTTGTTGATTTAGAGTTTTTTGATGATGCTGAGCAGTTTTAGAATTTTGCCGTTATTTTGACTGCATAGACAAAAATATCAATCTATGCAGTGAACAATAGATTAATTGTAGGAAGCTTTGGGAATCCAAAACCCCTGCTGTTTCTCTGAAATAAGAGAGAAAACTAACACAATAAAAAGAGTTAGGTATCATTACAGCATTTCTTTGTACCGTCGACCTTCACTCAGACATGCATTCTGCCTGCATTCCAGATTTCGAGATGCACCAATCTTTTTTTTTTTTTTTTTTTTTTTTCCAAAGTCAGTCGTTTTTACATGAATTGCCAGGATAATGTTGATACTTCCATAATGCTTCAAATACATACTTGGATTGGAGTCTTACAATCCACACAACTTTTAAAACAGACCTATAAAATGCTGCATTTGATAAAAGGATGATTCACCATGATAAAACAACTTCCTTTTTAAACTTTTGAGCTGACAGAATAAAGATGATCTGTTAAAACGGCACTTCCTGGAACTACATCGCATTTCATATACTCTGCTCAAAGTAGGCTACATTTGTACTTATATACAAAAAGGCTGTATACTGCAGTCCAGACTTAATTGAATCGGCGACTACACAAGCGTCGACCAACTACGCAACTATGAGCACATATGTGTGAACCGTACTCAGGTTCTGGCTATAAAATTTCACCTCCCACAACAAGAAACAGGAATTCCGCGGCGTATTTCAGCTTCAAAGCGAACCCACCAGAAGCAAGTAGACGTGCGTGAAAAATTTCAAGGAACTTAAAATTGTGTTGAAAACTCGGCAGTGATAAATTAGCAGGCCCCGTGAAGTCATTTCTGCCACAACAAAAGGGTTCGCTAGTTTTATCTGCTCAGTCATCGCTTTATACGCTGACTCAATTAGTATTCACACACATACAAAAAAAAAAAAAAAACGTAATGATTTTGCCGATTAGATTTTGTTGGTTATAGTAAAAACTTATCGAGAAAATTTCGAAACACAGGTGGCTATGGAGGAGTTATTGAGAATTATGCACGTGTTCGGGGGGAAAAGGGGGAGGGGGCGGGGGTTAAAGTCACAGTCGCGTATCCTTCGCCCTGACACCTCATCCCAATGCATGATAATTAACCGCTGACTGCAACTTCTCCTTGGAGTCTGGAGATAAGACTGCGCCTAAACACAACCAATATTAATGACAATAGGCAAACAATAATTTTGCAATAATCAACCCACTGTACGCGGCGTGCACTGGCTTCTTGAGAATGAAACAAAGTGGCCGATAACCACTGAACTGTCAAACCTTCAGAACGAAGTGTCTAATGCAGTAGCTATTAGGCTTCGAGAACTGTGGAGGAGGGACCCATTATCAGGACGAGATCACAGAATGATAGTTGCTGTCATTCAAGGAAAGCAAGTACGCTAATAACGATCGTGAGCGTAAATCCCATACAACTTCTTCGAGATCCAAGCAACCAGCTGTTAGTGACTGATACGCCACAGGTTAGGATGAACAAACGGATCACCGTTTTCAACAGAGCAAGAACAGAATTTTGCGGTTCAAACCAAAAGACATCCCAAAAAAGGAGCCTACTCCAGCAGCGCGGCGCGCGAAAGTGGTATGATCAGCGAACGCGGCGAAAACAACCGATACGGCAAGCAACGTCGCCCAAGGCACCGGCGAGCGAATCCGGTGGAAGTGCACGCTCCGCTGTTGGCGACGGGAAACACGCCTTTCGACCGTGTCATATCGGAACTTTTCGAACACTTTTCAATCGAAACACAGCTGTAATAAAGAAGTTGGTTCAAGTTAATCCGGGAAAAGGCGCCCCATGACGCGTTTTTTTTCTGCAACACACTGCGTGCAAGTGACGAAAGGGATACCTTGCTTTGATCTTACAAAGCATCCCTTCGCTGTTTGAGACGGCTGCACACTTTGGGCATCCTCCAGTTCGAGAGACATGGGAAGCGATATAGGCTGACGTAGACGGCAAGAAAGCTTGACACTCACCCACACGCAGAGCGGCTCTTGGAACATGAAATACATCACTTCCAGCAGCCGACGAATGTAGTGGTGGTGTTCGAGGAGAAACTGTTCCAGGGTAAGTTGGTGCCCACTCACGAAGGTTAGGTTTCCCACAGTCATAGTGGTGTCGATATCCGTCGAAAGGTCCAAGTTGACCGCCGCGTTGATCTTCCATTCTAGCTGAGAAGTGACTTGAACAGCGTAATAAACAGATCCCGATAACAGCAGGACGCTGATGACTGTGTACGCTTGCAAGCTTGGCAAGGGCAGTCTATCCAGAAATACTGCTGGCATGCTTGACTCCAGGCTGGGTTTACAACTTACACTTCACCAGATATCGAGAAAAGTCGGCATTTCTCTCAGTCCTACTGAATGGAACGCCAACCACTTTCTAACGTGACATCATTTTCTCAGCGCGAGAGACGACGAACGCAGTGCAAGGAGGCGAGCTTGTGTGAATTGCGCCGCGCGAAATAGGGCACCGGTTACCTTGTCGTAGCGTCCTAGCATTGAACTTGGAAGCACCACAAACCTGTAATATATAATAGCGTCACCTGTTACAATCTTCCTCGTTGATATTAAAAGGAATGTACGTTCAAATTAACCAAATACACAGGTTGGACGCGACGCACTACTGAGGTACTACGCGCACATAGCAGCGTCAGCGGCACTATTTCTTCAAGGCCCGAGAGAACGGTGGAGATAGCAGAAATCGAGAGAGAGAGCGTCTCTACTCTCGACCCAGGAAGCAAGCGTCAGCGGCTTTTCGCAGCTTCGCGTCTATTCTCGTACGAGGAGGCTGTCGGCGGCAAGCTGCAAATGTCGGCTGACGGCAGGCACAGCGCCATTCGTGCGAACGAGTACTTTTCTCTCGATAATATCCTTACTTCGAATGAGCGAGTACCTTGCAAGGTGGAACTGCTTATACCCAAGCTTGGTATGTACCCATCAGGAGTACAGAATTGCGTTTTGAGGCCTTTGACGATCGCTGTTGAGCGCGCTGTTTGCTGGACGTGCTGATGATAACTTGAGGTCGGCGCGATACTATAGAAATCACACGAAAAATTGCATTGATGGTACGTATTGAAACTACACTAGGGAAGCCGTAACCGACGCTGATATTCCACACGATGATGCCTTGTTTTAAGCTGAAAGAACTGAGACTTCGGGCCGCTTGCTTCGTGGTGATACTTGCGAAATCTCGAAATGAGACCGGGTGTGACTATTAACTAGTTATTGTCCAGTGACATACAGCAGTCGTGATAATTTTAGTTTTTTTTTTTTTATTTTATTTTTACCTGTATTAAAATCACCAGAACTCAGGCTACTTAATAATGCGCACTACGGGCTCGAATAAATTCCGGATGGCATGAAAGAAAATTAACTGGACTCCATTCTTTATTGACAGAACAGGAGATTGGTTTTAAATATAGTCATGATAGTTATTGATGATCATGAATTGTGTCAGGGTCAGGAAGACGCATGTGCCATTCTAAACTCAGCTTTAAGTTATTCAGAGTGGTTGTAGTGTTAGGGTTTCACTAAATGTTATAACTTTTGTTTTCATTTTTACAAAAAAAAAAAAAAAAGAAAAGGAAACGGTAAATGTAGAAGGTTTACGTGGCAGACCGATGAAGGACATTTGGCACGTCTTGAAGAAGGACTGGAAGTTACTTTAATCTCCCTAGAGATTGTTTGACGTCAACCAAATCTCATTTACGAAGGGCCTTCACCGCAGTAAGTGGCCTTCACCGCAGTAAGTCTTTGTCGCTTGATATTTAAAAAGAGCTGTTAAAAGCGGTTCTGCCATTAAATTTTGTACTCCAAATTTATGGGTTCCCCAGCCATCATTTGATGCATTTGTGGTTCCAAAAATATTTTAACATATTTACAATTTGAGTTGGCTCATTCCTGGTTCTGATGCTCATATCTTTTCCATGCTGAATATTAGGATGACCTTGCCAGATGGCACACGCTCAAGCCCGGCTGCGGCAGTTGTCATACGACAAAAGCTGCCCGAGGTGTCTTTGTGGGTCACACTTTTTTATATATTCAGAAAAGTGAATCTCTGGCGGGTTGAAGCAATGTCCCTAAAACCCGCACCATCCTGCTGTTTCTGTTTTTCTGTGGTATGTATTTCGTAACTAATATACTGAAATGTCACATTAGCAACACATTAACTCTACCATTGCTCTGTTTGACCTTGCACGCAAAGCCGCCTCGGTGCCTCCAAGGCAAAGCGCCGGCCTATGGATTCCTTAATAGGTTCAAATCCCGGCCGAGGCATCTGCAGTCTGACAGAGGCTTATCATGTAGAAGGCACCATGTAACTGAGCTTTTGATTGCTTGTCAAAAGACCCCAGGTGGTCCAAATTAATCCAGACTTCTTCACTGGGGCGTCCCAGATGCCTTTTGTTAGTTTGGCATATAAACCCCCAAAATTAACCTTGTTTACGTTACATGGCTGAGGGCTGGAGGACTGTGGCCCACACCTCAATTAACACTTTCCTCGCCGCTATAGTTCCACCAAGAAATATTCTTCAAAATCTTACGGTATTAGTACGGGAAACTAGGTCAATTAGTTAAGCAGTTCATGTGAAAACATTGGTTCATAAACTAAAATAAAAAAAGAAAGACAAAGAATATGACCAGTGTTGATACACAACTGAAAAATATAACATGCTAGAAAAGTAGGGTTCAAAAAGGAAGAACAAGACCTCGGCAAAAAAGAAAACAAACTCGTGTTTCTGCGTTACTTTGCTGCAGACTATATTGAAATGCGATAGCATTGCTTGTCTTCTATGAATGCTATATTCCACTGATTAAATGGTAACAAAACTGCCTAGTAGGTAACCAAGCGTCAAATGTCCGTTCATTCAGTAGAGATGCTCATACTTGGCATGTCGCCGCTTCTGTTCAGCCATCTCCTCTTTGGTGCGTTCCTTTCTCTTGTGAGGCATTGTGAAGACTGTGGCACATTGAGTGAGGAGCACAAAGACCTTGGTTGGCGCACAATGAGAGCAAAATGGGACACATACCTCAAGGCTGGTTCGCACATTTGTGTCCGACTGTCACCAACTCCGTTACAACTCCGTGTTACTGCTGATGACTGGATAACACTGGCACCATCTTCGGTCACCTCTGGATCACTTCCGATCACATATTCCTAAAGTTTTGATGTATCATTTTTCACCATGAGCTCAAAATAGCTCTGAACATGTGAGCGACAATTTTTCATAGATTGTGCATAGATTTTACCTCGCAAATACTGCAAAACCTTCAGCCTAGCTATACACAGGTCAGAGGTGTTCTGGGGCTGCCTGATAGATGGTGCCAGTGTGCCCTCTTGATGTGTTTGTCTCACAAGTAGCGTCAAATACATGAGGCTCATGCCTCGTGTGGCCCCTGAACTGTAAAAACATTTCTCGACTTATTAGAAGGCAATTGTTATAATATGTATCATGTAAAAATTTTGACCTAAACATTTTTCGGCATTCAACTAGGGATTCCCACTTTTAATTCTCCTTCATGCTGGTGACACTCGCCTCGCGTTGGTAATCATTAAAACAAATATAACACACTTATTCTCTACTTCTTCCAGTTTTTTATTAGGTTTTTATGGTGGTGATCCCACACAACTGCTGCATATTTAATACAGGGGCGAATAGACGTAAAGCACAAAGTTTCTTTAATTTTGCATGAACCCTGTCAAACATTTCGTCATATAAAATTAAGCATGTGTACAGTATTTAGAGTTATCATTTCCACATGAGCTTTCCACGTTAAAGCGCTAGACAGAATGACCCTCAAGTATTTTATCTTGAGTTTGAGTTAGCCTGAATTGTTTTATTATTTATTATGTAGGTAAAACCAATTAAGCTTTCTTTCTTTCTTTCTTTTTTTTTTGAGTAAATCTCGCATGAACACATTTTTTAACATTCAGATTCATTTTACAATTGTTGCACCACATGGAAATATTGTCAAGATTGACCTGTAAGAAATTTACATAATTCAGAACATTGATTACAATAAATAATGCACTCGTCTGCAAATAGTCTTGTTTTTGATTATATTCCAATAATAATATCATTTATATATAGACCATTCCATTTAGCGCTCTCCGGGCGGCACCATTTTGTTCGACCGCAGCGCCCTCTCCGCACATCCGGGAAGTTCAGCGGGTTCGGCGGGGTAAAACGAGAGAGAGGGCACGCGCCCGACTCCATTAGCAGACGACAAACCGGGAGGTTGCCGTTCTCCATCTTTGGGCTGTATCGGCGGGCTCTACCGAACATCGAACTCTCACTCGTGGCTGCCGTTGTGAAGTGGTTCGCGTTCTTAGAATAGTTGTGGCTACTCCAAAATCAGCCTATAGCTCTCTGTTGTTCTATTCTGCTAAATGATCAACTAGCATATCTTTTTTCCGTTACTTAAATAGCAGTTGAGTCAGTCGGCAGTACTACCCTCAACTACTGCGTGTATTGCGGCAGGAGAGCACGTTTTATTTATTATTTCAGACTTCCACTCATGGTCGCCAAAGGCCTACACCAGTACGAACTTTGTATAGTAAAAAAGGTACAGCAACCGGATTTACTTTTCGCCAAAGAGACCGGCCGATCTGACACAGTTTTCCCTATTTTTTTTTTTATTTGCACGCAGGTGACAGCGCAATTGGACCCTGTGAGTCTTTTTATCTAGCATAGTATAACACGACAACTGGCATACCAAAATCAGAGCATTTGCGCTTGAAACTTCCAAAACGACGTGATTTTAAACAGAGTTTGCACGCCAGCCTGACGCTAGCTACAGCCCACGCGGCGGAGCGGACCACATGCGGGGTGAGAGGGGGAGTGCATTTTTTTCTCTTACCCTCTCTGCTATGACCCTAATGGAACGGTCTATACCAGGAAGAGCAAATGTCGCAGAACAGAACCCTGGGGAACACCAGATGTGACACCAACATAATATGACTTTTCACCATTTAGCACATCACACTGCTTTCGTTCTCTCAGGTAGTCCTGGAGTCAACCTAAAACATTATTATCAATAGCGAGTAAGGTAAGTTTGTAAATGAACAATTCATGGTTTACAAGGTCAAATGCTTTTCTGAAGTTTAAAAACAAACACTCTACTTCATTCCCAGTATTCATGGTGCCCACCAAAAAGTGAAAAATGTCAACAAGCACAGTGCCACAGGATGCTCCAGAATGAAACCCATGCTGATCTCTGATAAGAAAATGATCTATGTTCAAGTGAGCAATAAGATTACTATAAGTCACGTGTTGCATAAGTTTGCAGCATATGCACGTTAGAGAAATGAGTCAGTAATTTTCCACTCAGTTTTAATGCGAAAGCATTAACTATCCCATGGAGCGGAGCCGGCGGCGTCTGTAACCACCAAAGAAATGCCCATTCTCCCGTTGGCTGAGCAAAACAGCTAGGTAGCCATTGGCGGCCGCTTCATGAGAGCGCGCGCTCAGCCGCTGCTCTCTTGTCAGGCGTTGGCGGAGGTGTGTGTGTGGGGAGGGGGGCGGCGGTCGCTTTACGAGAGCGCACGCTCAGCCGCCGCTCTTGTGGCAGGCGTTGCTGGAGGGGTGTGGGCTGCGGCCGCTTCTGCTTCTCTCGGCGCCAAGGAACATGGCGGCGCCTGCGGCATCTATATCGTCAGCGGCTGCAACCTTGGCAGTAGCGGAACATAGCCGTCCACACCAGTACACCGTAGATGAATTAAGGGAGCGAAAGAACAACATTCCTGCTTTCGCATTCACAACTCATAAGAAGTGCTTAGGTTTCCTCGGAACTTTTTGTAGCCTGATTTGTGTATTGGCACCACATTTGCGATTTTCCAGTCTGTTGGAAGATTTTGATCCCTTATTGATTTGTTGTAAAACACACATAAATAGTCTGCCATCTCTAGGGAACAATTCTTCAATTTAAGTTGAGAAATATTATCAGACCCGCATGATTTCTTTACGTCGAGATCTCTTAGTAATAAAGCCATACCCTACATAATCTCTATGGGTGACATGATGTGTTCCATTACAGATTTCACATTAAGGTAACAAATCGCCGTAGTAGCTTTCGAAAAAACAGATGCAAACTAATTATTTAGACCGTAGCTTTGCTTTTCTCGTACACTATCAGCTGTTTGTTTACTAGAAGTGGAGGAACAGACATATCGTCCTTCTTATTTACCTTAACTACCTTCCAAAGCTCTTTAGGGTGCATTTCTAGTGCTGCGTCTCTAAGCTCGGTCGTTTGGGTGCTCCACTGTTATCTTTGAATCATAGATAAGCTCTTCGTTTACACTTAATTGTTTGCTTTACCTCTTTCCTCATCCAAGGTTTGTCTTTAGATTTAGAATATTGTATTCTAGAGGGATCATAAATGTCAACAACCTCATGAACTTTGAGTTTAAAGATGTGCCAGAGCTCATCAATGCCAATATCATCTGCTTGTTTTAAAAAATAAGGTAGGAAATCAACCTGTTTATTTCTTATAGCATCATAGTTTCCTTTGTCATAATAATACACTCTCCTTTCTTGACACTTCCCTTTATGTACCCTTGGGTGAACTAGCACTGCTGTCACTACCTTATGATCTGAAACACTAGGTATTACGCAAACACTGTCAATCGCTTCTGGCAAATTGCAAAATCGAAGACGTAAAATATTTAATAGACTTGTTTCCTCTGTAACATATGTTAAATCGAACATTTCTATGCTCCGTTCCCCGATAACTTGGCGAACTGTGAGAGTGCGGCCCCCGCGACCTAATAGGAGCGCCGGTGCGAGGCACGTGATAGCACTCCTTGGTCAGAGCCACGGGGGCCTCGTTACAGCCACAGCAACATTGTCTGTCCGCAACAAAAAGTAGTTCTAGGTTTCTTTTTCTTTTAACGGCAATTGAACTCTCTCAGTTCCATCTCTAACGAGGAGATATAAAGAATAAATAATCACAAATTTATGAGTTTCAATTACATTTAAACCAAAAAAGTGATGCCACCATCCGTATCCGCTCCTGATTTTTTTCTCCTTGTAGTGCCGCGGCCGTTGGCGATTGCTGGCGATCGCAGCCGTGTAATCGGCTGTTTCCGCTCTAAACATTGCGCTGTGCCCTAGCATTAGCACCCATCACAAATTAGCGGCTAAATTGAGCGAATGGTCGTCTCGTGAGCTGTTCCAGAAGTACTCGCTATTCTAGCAGATGGAAATGTTGCTGTGGTGGATGTTCATTTGAGGTTAGTTGGTTTCGGAACAGACGACTCTTAGCTAGCAGACGACAGCCAGTTCCTCCGGGCCTTGCGCCTTTCATTTGGCGGAGTGACACAAATGCTCCCATGACGTCGGGTCATGTGCCTCACTCCAACACACTTATTGGCTCGCGGGGCCCTAGCCTCCATAGTTTGCCAAGCTATCGGGACATGGAGTATAGAATGGCATTAAATTTAATATGAAGGGAGTTTCCCGAGCCATGGGTTTTTCCTTTCTCCCTCACTAAATCTGGGGAATTATAATTTCCACTCAAAAGAATGTATTCTTTAGAGGTCGCAAGCCTTACTACTGTTAGTTCTTTCAAGGTTTCTCTGCCCTCGTGTGGGGGACGATAAAAAACGCCTACTGAAATATGTTTACCATTAATGGACATTTGGCACCACAGTGTTTATATGTTAACATCCGGGAACCGTATTAGCATGGTAGGAATATTCTTTATCCACAAGAATGAAGACACCTCAACCATGTAGGTTTCTATGCTTTCTGTATACTGTATAATTGTCTGGACACACTTCACTTGAAACCATGGTGGCTTCGATCTCTCATTTGAACCGGAACAGCCAAAGTGCACAGCGGGATTTGTGGAGTCACTCTGTATGGTGCCATATTGCAAGGAAGATAATATATTTGATGCTAAGGGAATTTCCGTGGGTTTTCTTGGTTGTTATTCGGCGACCTCTCAGACATTTTCATTCTCAAGGTCAAACATAAAGCATTTTTCATTAATATATAGTCGATCCTTTCGCAGCTTGAATCGACAGTCCTAGGTTTTTGCAAATTTAACTAGCTTTCTTCTTGCCAACTGAACTGGCTTGTTGTACACTTTATTGTACACACTGTCTGATTCAATGTGTCCTATCAATTTTTTGGGGATCTAGTTTTATTTTCATTTTGTCGGTGCAAAGTTTCACGATAAGGGATTCTAATTCCGCCCACATTTCTTTATCTTTCAGTCGGAAGAACACGAGGTTTGATCTGCGTGAGCGGCTTTCTACACCATTAGAGCTCACTTTTAGAACAGAGCTTGGCGTGCGCAGCTTCCTGTTTAGAATCATTGATTTGCGTCACTTGCAAATCAGCCCTAGTGAAATCAAGTTCTTTTTCGAGCGTGCTCACACATTCTGTCAATTCTGATCATTTCTTTTTGGCATTTCAACGCTCCTCGGAAAGTTAGCTCACTTTCTGTCTCAGTGCCTCATGCCTTGTCTCCAAGTGATGAACAGTAGCTTGACGGGCGGTTACTAATGCATTCACTTCCACATTAGTTGGGCCGGGGTTTTCTTCGACATCACTGCAAACCATTAACAGGTCTAGAAAACGCTTCAAAGCTGCTTTCAGGCACGGCAACACTACCGAGAACAAATTTTTGTTCTTTACAGAGTAATATTCAACCGTACACACCTGTATAACAAAGTGGAGTGGCATGTTAGATGACCTCATGGTGGCAGTGCAGCCATGCTACAAGTCCAGTGGAGTGGTGTCACCTCTTTTGTAGGTTGATGTTGATGTTCTTTGCACTTCGTCGCCACGCAGCTTGTAGGATGAAAAATTCGTCCAGACTGTGTCTTCTTCGCTGAAGCCCGTGTCAGCCAACGCTGATCCACAATAGTGGCTGAAGCTCAGGGTTTCCTTGCTCGCTGGGATGACGTACGGCGGGCACAATGGTTCTGGCAATTCAGCAGGCAGCGTCAGCAACAGCAACAGCTGTATAACAAAGTGGAGTGGCGTGTTAGATGACCTCATGGTGGCAGTGTAACCGTGCACACACTATACGAGGTTTGATCTACGCCAGCAGCTTTCCACATCATTACAGCACATTTTTAGAACAGAGGGCTCAGCGTGTGCAGCTTCCAATTTATTCCAATTTCGAATCATTGTTTTGTGTCACTTGCGGATCAGCCCTAGAGACAGCAAGTTCTTTTTCGAGCGTGCACACACGTTCTGTTAATTATGATCATTCTTTTTTGGCATTTGTGCGCTCCTCGGAAAGTTCGCTCACCTGCTCACTGTGTTGTTGATGCAATTTCTGGACTTGTCTGGCTGTTTTACAACATGCATGTTTAGAACTTGCAAAGAGCGGGTGGGAATGATACTAGCTGTGCCCCACGAAATGGAAATGCCTTTGTGCTGAGTGATTGGCCAGAATGATTGTTCACTTTTTCTTATATGACGAGTAGAAGGTCAAAGTAGAGTGTTGCGCAAGCCTACTTTTTGAGGTAGGCTTGCGCAACATATATATCAATATCAGATATTCAGAAATCTGACTATCTGATATTGATAGTACTATCGATATCGATAGTCGACTATCGATAGTTCTGAGCCACTATCGATAGTTTTGCATCACTACAGGGCATGCCTCATCCCTTAAATTCAAAGCTGCCATTGGGATGTGTTGGTGCATTTGATTCATTTAGCCTAATTGCCAATAAAGACACTGTCGAGACGTTATGTGTCGGCATAAAAATGTGAATGTTAACATGGAGATCTTAATGGCACTCGTTCAAAAGATAATGAAAAGTTTCAGGACGTTATAGAACATATTCAAGTCACAAATTCTATGCAGTCCAGTATGAACTAAAGTCACAATGAATTAAAAAGGTTCAGTATTTGTGTATTTCCGGGCCCGAGCCAGGCCCGGGCCCAGAAATAATCCGTACTACTTGGCCCAAGCTTAGCCTAGGTCCGGAAACAACTTGTGCTAGCCGGCCCCAGGCAAAGCTCTAGGTCAAGGCCTCACAAAAGCCAGCTGAGTCTCGCTGCAGAAGGAGAACATTGGATACGCCCGAGCAGTGGCGTCACTAGGGTCAGTGGCACCCAGGGCGATAGCCCTCCGTGACCTCCCACCCCCCGCTCTCGTGGCCTGCTGCAACACCCTCCTGAGTGCTGCACCCAGGGCGGTCCCCCTGCACCTTCCCCCATTGTGACGCCACTGCTCCCAAGTCCTCCCAATCAGTCAACCTCGAAGTACAGAATTTCTCAAATAAATTCGAATCATAATACACTTCGCTCTCGAGCGCTTATGCCTCTTTTTAAGATTTATTTGGAAATACAGAAGCGTTTTATAGTATTTTTCGGCAGATATGACATTCTGCAACGTGTTAAGAAAATGGAGACAAACCCTTACGATTCTGGGTTTTGTCAGGATGTTGTCAACAAAAAGCCTGAGCATTTTTTTGTTATTCGACGGCCTTCGAGGTTTTAAATAAAATTTGGTTTGAGTTGGGCAGCCTCGGATTAAACTCTTGTGGAAATTTTTGTTTTTTCATATGAGCTCATCCAATTTGCTACAACATTTGTGTCTCTCTTTGCGCAGGGTTGTTAGATTCATCCTCAAAGGACAAAGACTTGAAGCCTGGCGTCAAGCTCGACCTGCCCTTCTGGTTGGCGGCCCCCTTATTGAGCAGGCACATTGTCTCGGCTGATGTGCCCAAGGTGTACCGTGAAACATACAGGGAAATTCTGAGTGCCGATGCTGTGGCAGTGGACCTGCATCACCTCCAACCACAGTTCTACCTCTTCGGCCTGCTGATTCAGAGGTTGCCCATTGCCGATGGGGAGAGCATCAACCGGACGATGGTGGAGGTAACAGCGCTCTTTTCTATGCATGCGTGATTAATAAAGAGACGGTAACCTACAAGTGGCCTTGTGACCTCTGTATATGGACATAAGGGCTGACGAAGGTCTTAATGCATGATACGTATAATATAAAAGCGATTTTAAAGTTATATTACCCCAATCATAGTGACGCCAGGCGTTTAGATGGTGGAAATCTGACTTAAAAGGCAAGTATCTTCCCTGCCTTCTGACTGAGCAAGATTTGTGTTATATCAATTTGCCTTTATCATGCTGTTTTCTTAAGTGAGTAATACAGGCTGTTTAATTTTCATTCTAACAGAGTTGTTTAATTTTCATTTTAACAGAGTTGTTTAAAAAAAGGAGGTGATAGACAAGTGCCATCTTTACCATGTATTTATCAGGCTCGGCAGACATTAATTAAGGGGGGACACTACCCAGAAAAAACAATTTCTGCAAAAAAAAAGTTGATTTTGAAAAATGTCATATTTACATCCACCAACATCTAGAGAGTATTCCCAGGAAGTTTCATTAGTTTACACTGCATAGTTAATTTTTTATCAATTATTTTCCATCCACCGATGCTAAAGAAAAGGTAGAGGTTGGAGCACTTTGAACGCATTTTTCTCCATTCCACTTTTTGGCATAAATTTCACTTTAGGAAAACTATTGTTTTGTTATTACGTAACTTGGACTAATTTTTATGAGTGTTTCTGGGTTGAAATTTTAAGGGGAAGATAACTATGAGCTTGTATTTTTTATTTTTGTCATTTGTCATGCTCAAGAACTAAAAGTTTGGACAAAGGATGGAAATCTAAAAAACTATTTGTGTTTATGTGGTTTTTTTGTCATAAAAGATGTTATAACATAGAAATATAGCTCCATAGTTATCTGCTCTGAACTGTCCTAATGGAATGTAACACATGAAAACAACCAATTTATAAGTAATTTCAAAACGATAGTTTTCCTAAGCAGACATGCCCCCTTTCGTCTTTGAACGTTTGCATTTATTTTTGTTCTTCATCCAGGTTAACAAAAATTGGCAGAAATGTTCTCAACATCAACAGAAACAAGCCCTGTAAATATAATTTAAATCAGACAACTGGTTCAAAAATTTACTTTTTTGGGTAGTGTCCCCCCTTAAGTGAGGGGACAATCGTCATGATAAGTTGACTCATTAACAAAAATCTGTTAATTACTTTGTAATTATTGGTTTTGGGGGTCATGTTGCAATTGCAGTATTGATGGCAATATTGACCCGATGAGTGATGATGTCACAATATGGCACTGTGCTCCAACCAAACGGCTGCTAGCACTGTTGTTATGGATGGATGCATGGGGGCTCCATGTGAGGTTAGAAGTTTTTGTTTAAATTTTGGCAGATAAAAAATTTAATAATCTTTGTAAGCATTGCAGTGATGTGATTGCTGCGCCAATTGCGCCAAACTGCGCCAAGGGGCTAACCCTGCTACATCCTGCTACATTTTGCCAAAATATGGGTAATCTGCACCAAGCCTGCGCCAAAGGATAAATTTTGGTCGCCTTTGAAAACCGAAGCTGAACTGAGTACCGTAATTGAGCACACATGAGCTAGGTGGTGCAAGCAGCCGTCCGACACAAAGTACCCTGCATCAATCGTTCATCCGGCCTTACATGGTCTTTCCCGCCGTCTCTCGTCTCGCGTCTTTTTGAAGAAAAAAATTCAATGATAGACGTGGGCGTGTGCGGACGCTCCGACGCTAGCGTGCTGGGTACCAGCCATGCCGTCATGCTGTGAAACGAAACCATGTTTTTGCGCGGCGGGGGGGTTACTTTATGGGCTGAAGCACTCGTTCCTGAAAGCAACGGCCGTGGGCAAACTATATGTGGTCCCTGCCTGCCAGTCACCATGGTCGCGCGACGTCGGATGTTGCCGTTTCCACGTTACTGCAGTTATGGCACTTTCTAAACTGAAACGTAAGGACTGCCGCATGTTCATCAATAATCTTGTTCTTGTTTAATATGCTACGACAACCATCCCTTTAGCTCAAAGACTGTTGTGTCGAAGTATTGATTACCTAGGTTTCTCTCGGTATTTCTTTAGAGACGTACCCTGGTACGTGAAACAAATCAGCCGCGAAAGAAAGTTAGTGAAGAGAAGTGAGCTAAAGCAAAGAAGGCAATGTCCGCATGCTGAACCCGCACAGCGTGCTTATTTGTCTCCAATTCAGTCGTTGCACAAAGCGCTCCAAGAATTTTTTGACCTTGGCTCGCGATGTCATGCATCGATCCGCTCAGGTTTTTTTTTTTCTTCTTTTTTTTTTCTGTGTTTAGTTTGTACCTCGCCTGCTGGCCTGGCAGGCCCGTGCCGCTGGACTGTTTTTTTTTTGTTTTTGTCCTATGTTGGACAGTTATATTTTGCATACAATTTTGGGAATTAGTTGGGAGACGGAGCGGAGTGGCGTGGTTTCGATCGAACAGGCCATCTCCGCTCGCGCGACAATTTCGCATTGCACGGCAGTAGTTACGTGTTTCATCAGTTGGAGACTGCTTCCATTTATTATATTACTAGTCAACCAAATGATGTGATATTTACTACTAAACTGGTCATTTTCAAATAAATTTTAATATGTACAGTTTGGTCCGATATATTTGTATTATTTAACTGAAGCATTGCAAAATGTGTCATGTCATTGGCATTTCAGTTACATGTTGAAAGACTCCCAGGTGGTCTATCTTGACAATAATTGGTTGATTGCGGCGAGCAATATGTCATTCGTTTGTCCACCACTTGAAATGAATATCTTTTTTTTTTTTTTTCTTCTAAGAATATCTGCTCCAAAAGCCACTTTCGCTGCTCCGAACCACTGTTTTAGCTGCTCCGAAATCCAGTTTTGCTGCTCCAAAACTCTGTTTTGGCTGCTCCAGAACGTGCTCCAAAACGGCTTAGGCCAATCACATCACTGGCATTGTGTCTTCTTAATATCTCATAAAGGCTTTTTCTATTGTCTCAGTGCCATAAAGCGATTATAAAAGCTTGTGATAAAGTTTCACAGCCGGTTTTGCCTTGCTTGATAGCAGACAATACAATGGCTTCGCTAGTTTAGTGATTATTTCTGAGGGAGAATACAACTGTGTTAAATAAAGTTGGTGATGAGTGACGAAGCTTCTATTCTTGGGGTCAACTTCTGTGGAATTTTGGAAGCAAAGGGTGCCTGTGCACAGCTTTCATCAACATTCGAGGTGCGCGAGCGCCTGTTTGTCAGCCCATCAGTGGCATAGCCGATGGGGAGGCTTATAGGGCTCTCTCCCCAGAAATCTAGCCGACCCTATATCATACAGATGCATTTTGACCCCCCCCCCCCCCTTTTTTTTCACACCCTAAGTCATAGACATCCCAGCCACCTCAGCCAGCCAGCCCCCCCCCCCCCCCCCCCCCTCCTTTCCCCCAACAAATATTCCTTGCTACAGCACTGCTGCCCATGGAGGTTGCGCAATATTCGAGAAGGGTGAAAACACTGTGAAGCCGAATCTCATATACAATGACGGTGTGGAGTGTATGAACGTTAAAGTACAGGCCAGCGCACGTTTCAAGGAGTTCTGATGTCACAGAAGTTGCTTTAGTGCACACATGTGTCATCAAACAAACTGTTCATAGCAGCTATATAACTTACCTGATGCTTTTATCCAGCTCTTTCACTTTTGGGGTCTTACTGAAAAGGGAAGAATCAGCAGGATTTTTTCTCAGTGAGATGGTTACAAACAGGTGGAAAACACTCACCTATATTGCGTGCCTGAAGAATGAAGTTGGGAGTCTCTAAACAATATGTTGAGTAAAAAAAAATTGCTCCTTCCATTACAATGCACGTAAACTGCAAAATATCAAAGGGGGCCTGACGCTGCTTTGATCTCATGTTCTAAACACTTCTCTCGCTGTATTTTTAGCAGATCCCCATATGTGTAATGATTTTTGACAGACAGTATTCTGTATCGCACACAAGTACAATTTGTTATTATAAACCTGATGAGTTTTCTTAGACCTCCGATGTTCCCAATCAATATAAGATCACAATTGTATTATTATGCAAACGATTCATACTGTTGCAGACGGCATACTTCAGCCATTTCGTAAGCATTCTTCGTCTACTTCTGTCGTGGTATGTGTGAAATCTAGGCTTTCTGTATCTATTCTTCTTAGGTGTCTAGATTCCACGTCCAAGTTTTGAAACTATGGTTCTTTCGGAACAAAATCTAGTCCCATGTATTCATCCATAGCAAGGCCCCTAGCAACGGTTTGTTTGGAGCAGTGACATCACACTTACAGGTAACAGGATCAATTGGAAGTTAGACCAATTAAAGAATTTGCAAAAAGGTAATGGTTTTTAGATATTAACTGATGAATTTTCGCACATTTTTACCCGATTTAAAAATTGATTTAAAAAAGAGTGCCGCAAGCCTTCTTCACAATGACGCTTAGAAGAGTGGCTGGTATCCGGTTCAGTCACGTCGTCACTTGTATGGTCGGCGCACCCACAAAGGACATGCTGCTGATATAGTGATGAACATTCTTGCCGGAAGCATGGAAGAGCATTTTAAGCGTTCCGTGTTCCTTCCGTTCATGGATTACCTGATCCCAGAGTTGGATGGGAGATTTAAAAATCACCGGTGTATGTTTCAATGACTTTCGTCGCTTCTGCTTGCAAAGGTCTTGGAAAACGAGGCAGCTCCCGGCGCTGAAGAGTTTTTGGAACTCTATTCAGGCCTGGTTTCAGTTTCTGTACTCCTATGCAAGCTGCACATATGGGCTGCCAAATGCAAAAGGGAGAAACGTGAAATGTCCATCACGTCTGCGCTACAGGCGGTCGCCCTCTGTTTGGAGGCCCTATTCCCAGACGTCCATCATCTTCTCAAGGTTCTAGCAACTGCGCGTAACTACAGTGGAAGCTGAACACTCATCCTCTTCACTACGACGGGTTAAAACATTCCTGAGAGCATCCATTTTGAATGAGCGACTGCTGGGCCTAGCACTT